GGTGGGTAGAAAGGAGGCCAGCGGCCTTGTCCAGAAGGGGGACAGGCTGTTGGTGGCCACCTCGTTAGCTCCAGGGACTCCCCGCCCCGCACAGAGGGTGCGGACAAGGCGCTGGGACCCAAAGGTGGCACGGTGAGCCGGGGCCAAATCTATGGCTTTTAGCATCATGCTTTTTAACCAAACGCACGCGCCATCGAATTTGCCCCCCGACCTGGCCGCGGAGTAGACCATAACCGGGCTTTTAACGTGTAAAAAGCTGAGGGAGTGACATGGGCAGGAAGGTGGGGGGCCCACCCGGCCCCACCTGTCACCCTGCGGCCTCTGCTCCGGCGTTCGGGCCCCACGTTTGGGCTGAATTGCGCCCGCCTCCTCCCCAGATGAGCCTGCTGCAGCCCGAACCCCAGGCCCTCGGAAGGTGACTGTGTTTGAAGAGGTGACCTAGTGAAAGTGAGCTTAAAAAAAAGTTAAAATGAGGTCGTTAGGGTGGGCCCTAATCCAATGAGTGGTGTCGTTACAGGAAGAGGAGGTTAGGGCACAGACGCACGCAGAGGGCCGCCTACGTGAGGTCGCAGGGGGAAGATGGCCATCTACACGCCGAGGACGGAGGCCGGGGAAAGAGCCAACACCTCCCCTCACACCCCGGCGACGCGTGGACCGCGGCCGTGGCCCTCCGGCCTGCAGAGCCGTGAGCAGCGTCTGTCGATCGAAACACTCACTCGGTGCTGCTTCGTGACAGTGGCCGTCACCGTGCCCACGGGGCCTTTCCCGCGCCCCGCCGTACCCTCTTCGGAACGCCCCTTGCCACCCCACGCAGGTGGCTTCACTGTCCGCTCCCCGCCCCAGGGGCCCGGGCAGCCCCTGGCAGAGGGGACTTTGTCTTCTCCTTGCATTCCTGGCCCTTGGTGCTGGCGTAAAGTAGGGCTCAAAAATGCTCTCTGGATGACTGCAAAGCAGAGCGAGTGGCTGACCCGGGGAGCATGCTGAGGAGGGACAGGTCCAGTCCCCGTCACCACGGCCAGCAGCCTTCGCCAGCGAGGAGCCCCAAGAGGCCACGTAAGTGGGGTCCCTCGGCCTCCTCCGGCCCAGCCCGGCCCAGCCCGGCCCAGGCCTGCTGACCTGCTTCCAGGACAGAGCCGTCTGGAAGGCGGTTGGTGGCCTCTCGGCTGGAAGGGACAGCCTCGCGGCTCGGGAGACTGTGTTCTGCTTTGCCGCCCATTCTGGATGGCCCTTGCCGCACACTGCGATGCGTGGGCCTTGAGCTCCAGTCGTCAGGTTCCCGCTCCGTGTCTCGGGAAGATGCTCTCCCTCATGTCCTGGGGTGTCCTCTCCCGTGAGACGAGAACGTGGGAACGACAGACAGGTCCTACCTCGTGTGAGTTCTCACTCATGTGCTTAATAGTGCAAGGCAGGCACCCCGAAATCCTCTTGTCGTTCCGTCTGGGTCTGCCACATGTGACTTGGTCCTTGTCCTCCGACACCGGGATCACTTGACAGATGTGCACAAGGTTAGACACCAAGGGCCCAGACGTGGCTCAGTCTAACTCTCCTTCTACACACAGAGGAGACACGTACCAGTGCGTCCCTGTAAACGCCGTGACGTGCGCAGGTGTGGGTACCATCTGACACACGGCAGACGCTCGTTAGACGCTTCCGTGAAATCACCCGGGACCATGTAGCGAGGCGTCGTTTTTTTAAAATTATTTTTATTTTTCAATTACAGGTGACATACAGTATTATATTACTTTCAGGTGTACCGATTAGTGATTAGATAGTTATGTAACATCCCCGTGACTGTTTCATAACTACTGGTTTGTGCTTCTCAATCCCTTCCCCTGTTCACCCACCCAGGAACCCTCAAAATGTTCTGCGTATCCATGAGTTTCTGTTTCGTTTGCTTTCTTTAGGCTCCACAGGTAAGTGAAAGCACATGGCATTTGTCTTTCTCTGTCTGACTCACTCCACTCAGCACAACACCCTCTAGGTCCATCCCTGCTGTTGCAAACAGCAAGATTCAATTCCTTTTCACGGCCGAGTAATATTCCACTATGTTCACGCACCAGCTCTTCTTCATCCATCATCCACCAATGGACACCCAGGTGGCCTCCAGATCTTGGCTACTGTAAATAGAGCCGCAGTGAACGTGCGGATCACAGGGCCCTTCGAAGTCGTGTTGGGTTCTTCAGATGAATTCCCGGGAGTGGGGCTGTGGGTCCTTCTTCGTCTCTTGTAACGGCCTTCGGTTTAAAGTCTATTCTGTCTGGTCTGAGTATCGCCACCCCAGCCTTTCCGTTTGTTTCCATTTTCATGAAACGTCTTTTCCAGCCCTTTGCTTTCAGTCTGTGTGTGTCTTCAGATCTGAAGTGAGTCTCTCGTAGGCAGCATAAGGAAGGGTCTTTTTTCTTACCCATTCAGCCACCCATCTTTCGATTGCAGTATTTAATTAATTTATATTCAAAGCAATCGTTGATAAATATGTAATATTGCCATTTTACTATTCATATTTTTGATCTGTTTTTTCTTCTTCTTAATGAAGTCCCTCCAACATTTCCTATAACATTGGCTTGGCGGTGATGAGCTCCTC